AGCATCTTCTCAGATCACAATGGCATGAAACTAGAAATCAATTGCAACAAAAACATGCAAAGACATTTGAACACATGGAGGCTAAATAGCATGTTATTACACAATGAATGGGTTACCGAGGAGATCAAGGAAGAAATTAAAAACTTCCTGGAAACCAATGAAAATGAACACACAACAACATAAAATCTATAGGATGCAGCAAAAGCAGTTCTGAGAGGGAAGTTCATAGCACTACAGGCCTACCTCAAGAAACAAGAAAAATTTCTAATCGACTGTCTAACCTCACAACTTAAAGAATTAGAAAGCAAACAAAAAGAAAACCCCAGAGCAAGTACAAGGAAGGAAATAGTAAAGATCAGAGCAGAAATAAATGACATAGAGACCAAGAAAACAATTCAAAGGATCAATGAAACAAAGAGTTGGTTTTTTGATAAGATAAACAAGATTGATGGACCCTTAGCTAGACTCACCAACAAAGAGAGAGAACCCAAATGCACAAAATCAGAAATGAAAGAGGAGAAGTAACAACTGACACCACAGAAATACAAAAAGATCGTTAACAGCTACTATGAACAAATATATGGCAACAAATTCAACAATCTAAGCAAAATGGACAAATTTCTAGAAACACAGTCTCCCAAAACTGGACCGGGAAGAGATAGAAAACTTGAAGAGACCAATAACAACTAAGGAAATTGAAGAGGTAATCAAGACTCTCCCAGCAAACAAAAGCCCAGGCCCAGATGGCTTCATGGGGGAATTTTACTGAACATTCAAAAAAGAACTAACACCCGTTCTCCTCAAACTATTTCAAAAAATTCAAGAAGAAGGAAGACTTCCAAACTCCTTTTATGAGGCCAGCATAATTCTAATTCCAAAACCAGAAAAGGACACTACAAAGAAAGAAAACTACAGGCCAATATCCCTGATGAACACAGATGCCAAAATCCTGAACAAAATAATAGCAAATCGGATCCAGCAATACATAAAAAAAATTATTCACCATGACCAAGTGAGATTCATCCCAGGGATGCAAGACTGGTACAATATTTGCAAATCAAGAAGTGTGATACACCACATAAACAAAATGAAGAATAAAAACCACATGATCTTATCAATAGACACTGAAAAAGCATTTGACAAAATTCAGCATCTATTTCTGATAAAAACGCTCAGCAATGTGGCAATAGAGGGCTCATATCTCGACAGAATAAAGGCCATATATGAAAGATCTACAGCCAACATCATACTCAATGGGCAGAAAGTAAAAACATTTCCCTGAAGAACAGGAATAAGACAGGGATGTCCACGTTTGCCACTCTTATTTAACATTGTACTGGAAGTCTTAGCCACAGCAATCAGACAGGAAGAAAAAATAAAAAGGATTCAAATTGGAAAGGAGGAAGTGAAACTGTCATTAAAAGCAGATGACATGATATTATACATAGAAAACCCTAAAGACTTCATCAAAAATTTACTAGACTTAATAAATGAATTTGGCAAAGTAGCAGGATACAAAATTAACGCCAAGAAATCGACGGCATTCTTATACACCAATGATGAACTCACAGAAAGAAACTGAAAAAACAATCCCATTTACCATCATGGCAAAAAAATTAAGATACCTAGGAATAAACTTAACCAAAGGAATAAAGGACCTATGTACAGAAAACGACAGGATATTGAAAAAAGAAATAGAGGAAGATATAAAAAAGTGGAAGCACATACCTTGTTCATGGATTGGAAGAATTAACATCATTAAAATGTTCATATTATCCAAAGCAATCTATGGATTCAATGCAATCCCCATCAAAATACCAACAACATATTTCACAAAACTAGAACAAATACTTCAAAAGTTCATATGGAACCAAAAAGACCCCAAATAGCCACCGCAATTTTGAAAAAGAAGGACAAAGTAGGTGGGATCACAATACCAGATATCAGGTATAGTGCAGTGACTGTAATCAAAACAGCCTGGTACTGGCACAAGAACAAGCATATAGACTAGTGGAACAGAATAGAGAACCCAGAAATGGTCCCAAGGCAATATGCTCAATTAATATTTGACAAAGGTGGCAAGAGCATACAGTGGAATAAATACAGCCTCTTTAATAAATGTTGTTGGGAAAATTGGACAGCTACATGAAAAATATGAAACTAGACCATCAACTTACACCATACACAAAAATAAACTCAAAATGGATAAAAGACTTAAATGTGACCCGTGAATCCATAAAAATTCTACAAGAAAATGTAGGCAACCAAATTTCGGACATCATGCACAGCAGAATTTTCACTGATACATCACCTAAGGCAACAGAAACAAAGGAGAAAATGAACACACGGGACTACATCAAACTAAAAAGCTTCTGCACAGCAAAAGATACAACCATCAAAATGGAAAGGCAACCCACTCAATGGGAGAACATCATTTTCAATGATACATCAGATAAGGGGGAATTTCCAAAATATATAGAGTACTCATACAGCTCAACAAAAGAAAGACAAAGAACCCAATTAAAAAATGGGCAGAGGAGCTGAATAGACACCTCTCCAAACAGGACATACAAATGACCAAGAGACATATGAAGAAATGCTCAACATCACTAATCATTAGAGAGATGCAAATTGAAACAACAATGAGGTATCACATCACACCTGTCAGAATGGCCGCCATCAACAAATCATCAAACAACAAGTGCTGGCGAGGGTGTGGAGAAAAGGGGACTCTAGTGCACTGCTGGTGGGAATGCAGACTGGTGCAGCCACTATGGAAAATAATATGGTGTTTCCTCAAAAAATTAAAAATTGAACTTCCATTTGACCCAGTGATCCCGCTTCTAGGAATATACCCTAAGTAGCCTGAAACCCCAATCAGAAAGAATATATGTACCCCCATTTTCTTTTCTTTTTTTTTAAATCCTCACCCGAGGACATTTTTCCATTTTTTGTTCAGATAGAGTGGGAGGGAGAGAGAGGTAGAGAAAGAGAGAGAAACATCGATGTGAAGGGACACATCGGAGTGGCTGCCACCCGCACGACCAACCAAGGCCGGGGACAAACTGCATCCGAGGTACGTGCCCTTAGCGGAAACTGAACCCGGGTCTCTCTGTACCACAGGCCGACGTTCCAACCACTGAGCCAAACCGGCCAGGGCTGTACCCCCATTTTCATAGCAGCACTATTTACAGTAGCTAAGATCTGGAAACAGCCCAAGTGTCCATCAGTAAACGAATGGATTAAAAAGCAGTGGTACATATACACAATGGAGTACTATGCAGCTGTAAGAAAGAAAGATCTCTTATCCTTTGAGATGACATGGAGGGATCTGGAAAGTATTATCCTAACTATAACAAGCCAAGCAGAAAAAGACAAATACCACATGATCTCACTTACATATGGAATATAATGAATATAACAGTCTGAGGAATAGGGTTGACCCAGAAACATGGAAGTAGGGTACAGACTGACAACCCTCAGAAGAGGGTGTGGTGGGGGGTGGGAATAGATCAACCACAGAACTTATATGTATGTATGCGTAGCCAACGGACATGGACAACAAAGCCGGGGATGGGGCGAGGGTATGGGGAGGAGGGTGTCAATGGGGTAAAAAAGGAGAAACATCTATAACAAAAACAAAATAAAAAAATAAAGAAATAAAAAAATAAAGACTGATTTGAGCTAAATGTTACTATTGATTTTTTTTTTTTTTTTTTTTTATCCTCACCCGAGGACATTTTTCCATTTTTTGTTCAGGTAGAGTGGGAGGGAGAGAGAGGAACAGAGAGAGAGAGAGAGAAACATCGATGTGAAGGGACACATCGAGTGGCTGCCACCCGCACGACTGACCAGAGCCGGGGACAAACTGCAACCGAGGTACATGCCCTTAGCGGGAACCGAACCCGGGTCTCTCAGGACCGCAGGCTGGCGCTCTAACTGCTGAGCCAAACCGGCCAGGGCTAAATGTTACTATTGAAATAAAAGGTGTAAAATACTTATATAAAGTAATAATGTTCATTATTAAGAACTTATTACAGCCCTGGCCAGTTTGGCTCAGCGGTTAGAGCATCAGCCTGCGGTCCTGAGAGACCCGGGTTCGGTTCCCGCTAAGGGCACGTACCTCGGTTGCAGTTTGTCCCTGGCCCTGGTTGGGTTGTGCGGGTGGCAGCCACTCGGTGTGTTCCTTTCACATCGATGTTTCTCTATCTCTATCTGTTCCTCTCTCTCCCTCCCACTCTACCTGAACAAAAAATGGAAAAATGTCCTCCGGTGAGGATTAAAAAAAAAAAGAACTTATTACATACCAGATAAACTACTAGATTATTGATCTCTGTCTTTATATAAAACTTTATATGTCTGTTACTCTATCAATGAATGTTTGAGTACCTAATGTATACCAGATACTGTACTAGACACTTTATTATTTTAAGTTCCTTTAACAATGCTTGACTTGGAGATTATTATTCCCATTTTCTACATGGGGGAGATAAGATGCAGAGTGTTTAATTTGCCAAAACTTACCTGACTAGTAAGTGATTTAGCTGGGGCTTAGACTCAGTTCTCCTGGGTTCCATAGATTATGTGTCAATAATTTCTGCTACATCTGGCTGTTTTGCATTATTTACATTTTTTTCCTATTTGGTGTTTTGGTGCTAGATCTTTCTTGAATATTATTATTAGTCACATACAATTTTAATGGAATTGCTTTGATAGGTGGCAGAGCTATTTTCCCAATATTGAATTTTGGGACATATGGTTATCATTTCTTGATCATGACATTTTATATAGTCTTATGTCACAGTATCATTCAGTAAGAATTTAATCCTAAATTTTACAGTTTTTAAGACCAAAGGAAAAGTGGTTCATAAGGTTTTAGGTTATGAACTTTATTTCTTTTCTCGATCAGCTTTATTGAGATTATGTGCTTTTTAAAGTTTAAAATAATTTCTACTTTTGAACTCTGAAGTCGCTTACAATTATTTTATTTGTGTAAACAGGTACCAAGTACTTGCTTTCGCAACAGATGCGGATAAAAGACAGGAGTCCGAACAGCAAAAACTTGGTTCTGGAAAAAGACTCGTCGTAAGGCCATTGTTTTAATGTATCAAAGTTTTAGCAATGTTACATTTATTTTATTATTGATTTATTATTTTTTCTTATTTTTCAGTTATAGTTGATATTCAATATTATTTTATATTAGTTCCAGCTGCACAACATAGTGGTTAGACATTTATATAGTTTACAAAGTGATCCCTCGATGAGTCTAGTACCCACCTGGAACCATACATAGTTATTACAGTGCTATTGACTATATTTCCTGTGCTATACCTGGCATCCTGTGACTATTTTGTAACTACCAATTTGTACTTCTTAATCTCTTCACCATTTCCACTCGGTCCCTCACCCCCCTCCCGTCTGGCAACCATTAGTATCTATGAGTCTGTTTGTTTGTTTACTTTATTCTTTAGATCCCACATAGACGTGAAATCATATAATATTTGTCTTTCTCTGTCTGACTTATTTCACTTAGCACAATACCTCTCCTCTCCTCCGGGGACTGATTACACATACATTAGTCTTCTGAAAGTGTCACAGCTCCCAGATTTTATTTTAATTTTATAAAAGTTCTTTTTTCTCTCTATTTCATTTTAGGTAATTTCTACTGCTATGTTTTCAAGGTCACTAATATGTTATTTACTATTTCTCATATTCATTCCCATCTGCTATGGTTTTCATCTCTCCACGTTCAGGTTGGGTGTTTTTTAAATATCTTCTATGTCTCCACTAATCTTTTTGAAGACATAGAATATAGTTATAATAATTGTTTTAATGTCCTTGTTTTCTAATTGTAACATCTGTATCAGTTTTGAGTCAATTTTATTTTATTTATTTATCTCCACATTGTGGGTCTCATTTTCCTGTTTCTTTACATGCTGGTATTTTTTTTTTTTTTTTTTTTTAGGTGCCAGATATAGTCAATTTTACTTTGTTGGGTGCTAGATATTTTTGTATTCCTGTAACTATTCTTGAGCTTCGGCCTGGGAAACTTAGTTCACTTACTTGGAAGAGCTTTGATCTTTTTGAGTCTTGCTTTTAAGTCTTGTCAGGTGAGACCAGAGTAGTGCTCCTTTTGGGGTTGCTTATTCCCCACTCCTTAGGCAGGGTCCTTCTGAGTGCCTTCCCCAGCTCCTGTCGAGTTATCAGGTGTTCCAATCTGCCTGTGGGTAGGCAGTATTCTAGGTCCAGTAATCCTTTCTGGTGATTATTCCCTGGCCTTGGGTAGTTTTCTTACAGGATGTGCTGATAAGTACTCAACTGAATATTCGAGAGCAGTCTCTCCTCTTTGGCATGCTGTCTTATGGATTCTAGCTGTCTTGGTTTCTCTGAACTCTCAGCATTGATCTCCTCAGCCCAGGGAGTCTGCTGGGCTTTGTCTGGGTTCTCCCTCCCTGTGCCAAGTCCTGAAAACTCTCGCACACCTGGAGCAACCATATCACTCCCTGATTTGTTTTCTTTCATTAAGGATTGCTGTCCCTGGTCTAATATCCAGTGCTTTGCAAACTCTTGTTTCATGTGTTTTGTCCATTTTGTGGTTGTTTTAGGTGGGATTCTTTTTTCCTATTGCTCCATCTTGGCTGGAAATAGAAGAATTTTTAAATTATTGTTCATAGTAAATCTCTGTGTTTTTTGAGACTTATTAATTTAGAATGTAGTGAATTTTCCTAAGAGAGTAGCACTTGGTATGTAGTGAATTGAAAGTATTTAATGGCTGGGTCTCAGCCTGCAACCTCAGAGACCTGATTCGCCCGTCCATTCTGAACGAGACGTCCTTCCTCAGAGTCAGGAACGCATCACCCTGAATTACAGACATGATATGTAATGCTAGAATGCCAGCCTATTAAAGTGTACTGAGAAATGTAGCTGCCGTGTGACTGGCATTCATGTCTTATGTCCAGTGGGATATTTTTCATATAGGTAAGCTACACTTGACCCAAAGGTTAATCAAATGATTTCTTGGTGGTCAATCTTTTCTAAATCAGGTTATTTGTTTTCTAGCTGTCAAGCTGTCTGAGTTCCTTATGTATTTTTGGAAAGTAACCCCTTATTGGATACATGGTTTGTAAATATTTTCTCCCGTTCCATAGATTATCCCTTCACTCTGATTGTTTCCTTTGTGTGCAGGAGCTTTTTAGTTTGATGCAATTTCATTTTTTCACCTGTGCTTTTGGAGTCATATCCAGAAGTCATCACCCAGACCAAGGTCAGGAAGCTTTCTCCTATGTTTTCTTTGAATAGTTTTACAGTTTTAGTTCTCATATTTAAGACTTCAATCCTTTTTGAGTTGATTTTTATATATGGTGTGAGATAGGGGTTCAGTTTATCCCTCTGCATATGGATACCAAGTTTTTCCAAAACAATTTATTGAAGAGACAGTCCTTTTCCTACAGTGCATTCTTGATACCTTTGTGGAAGATCAATTGACTGTAAATGCCTGGATTTATTTCTGGGCTTTATTCTGTTCCACTGGTAGGTGTTAGGTTTTCATACCAGTACATACTGGGCTGCTTTGGCTAGCATAGCTTTGTAGTATATTTTGAAGTCAAGTAGTGTGATGCCTTTAGCTTTGTTCCTTTTGCTCAAGATTGCTTTGGCTATTTGGAGTCTTTTCCAGGTCTATCTGAATTTTAGCATTTTTTTCTATATCTTTGAAAAATGTCATTTGATAGGGATTTGAATCTGTAGATCACTTTGGGTAGTATGGGCATTTTAATAATAATTTGTCTAATTTGTGAACACAGCCTGTCTTTCCATTTACTTGTGTTCTTCAGTTTCTTTCATCAGTGTTTTATATTTTTCAATGCACATATCTTTTACCTCTTTGTTTAAATTTATATGAGAATTTTTGAACCACTGAGTAGCTAATACCATCGGCAAAAGATGGAGCAAAACGACTACTGTCTATGAAATATCAGAAATTTGGTCATAGCAAAAACTAGTGAATGAAGATTAGCCTATCTTTAGGTCTATTTTGTTATGAAATTTCTTTTTGTTTTTGTTTTCTTGGTTAATCCTCGCCCAAGGATATTCTTCCCTTTTTTTTTTTTTTGAGAGGGAGTGGAAGGCAGGGAGGTGGGGAGAGAGAGGGAAAAAAACAAAGAAAGAGAAATGTAAGAGAGACACATCAATTGGGTGCCTCCCTCACGACCCCAGTGGGGGCCAGGGATTGAACCTACAACCCAGGTACATGCCCTTGACTGAAATGGAACCCAAGACCCTTTGGTCCACGGGCTGATGCTCTTAACTGCTGTGCCAAAGTATCCAGGACAAGACATTTCTTAATGGTATTGATATGAAAGTAACTGAAATGTTCTGCTTTTAGTAAACTAAACTGATCTTAGGTTTTTCTTTACAGGTGGATTGGACTCTAAATATTGGAGAGCAAGCCCTTGATATATGTATTATATCTTTCAATCAGTCAGCATCTTCTGTTTTTGTTCTTGGTGAACGAAACTTTTTTTGCCTGAAGGATAATGGGCAGATTCAATTCATGAAGAAACTTGATTGTAGCCCAAGTTGTTTTCTTCCATACTGCTCAGGTGTGTAGAAAGATTTCCTTTTATCTTTTCCATATGTCAAGGCTATGTTATATACATCAGGAAAAGCCAAACTCACACACATATATTTTAAACATCTAGGAAAATAGTTATATACTGAATATGTAATGGAAATTTTAACTTTGAAAGTTTGAATAGAAGCTTGATATGAAGCACACATTTGGGTTTGTCCGTCATTTTACTTTGTACGAAATGACTTGTAGAATTGGCCGCAGGCATACATCGCTGCTTTCCAAAATGAGGCTGTTCAGGGTGCTTCCAAGAGCACATCAGGCTCTTGTGTAAGCAGAATGGCACAGAGTAATGCCTAACAGAATGACTTTTTTTTTGTAGTGAATGCCCAGTAAATCATTAGCTTAAATGTGTTAAATATTAATGAAATTCATGCTTTCTAGATGAAATGCAAAAATGTTGGCCACTATCTGGTTATAGTTTCCAACTCTATGGTTTTTTTCTTTTAGATATTGGTAAGCTTGAAAAATCACATTTTATTACCTAAAACTCTTTGCACATTACCATCAAGATATTATAATTAGTTGGTATCATACATCCCCTAAAAGGGATATAATATACTGTTGCAAAGGGCAATTTTCTGATTATCCTTTTTTCTATTTTCAAACTACAGTTTCTGAAGGAACAGTAAATACTTTGATTGGAAACCACAACAGCATGTTGCATATTTACCAGGACGTGACGCTGAAGTGGGCCTCTCAGCTGCCCTGCGTGCCCGTGGCGGTGCGAGTGGGCTCTCTGCAGTAAGTCGCTCGCGTCAGCCATGTCTCCACTCAGAGTCCTGGTCAGGGAACCCTCAAAAGTGTTACGAAATAATGGAAGTGGTTTTACTAAAAAGTGAATTTTACTAAAAAAGTGGCATTGTAGTGTTCAACAATGGAAATAATTTTATTTGTTTTTTATTTTTGGCAGTTTATTTATTTATTTTATTTTTTTATTAATTTATCTTTGTAACAGATGTTTCTCCTTTTTCCCCCATTGACACCCTCCTCCCCTCCCCCACCCCTCCCCCACAGCATTGTCCGTGTCCATTGGTTATGCGTACATGCATATAAGTTCTTCGGTTTATCGCTTCTCTCCCCTGGCCCCCCACCCTCTGAGCTTTGTCAGTCAGAACCCTGCTTCTATATCTCTGCCCCTATTTTGCTCATCAGCTTATTTTGTTCATTATATTCTATAAATAACTGAGATCATGTGGTATTTGTCTTTCTCTGATTGGCTTATTTCACTTAGCATAATACTCTCCAGGTCTCTCCATGTTGTCTCAAAGGATAAGAGATCTTTCTTCCTTACAGCTGCATAGTACTTCATTGTGTATATATACCACAGCTTTTTTATCCACTCATCTATTGATGGATACTTGGGCTGTTTCCAGATCTTAACGATTGTAAATGGACATGGTGCTGCTTAGTGTTGCTATGAACATGGGGGTGCATATAGTCTTTCCGATTGGTGTTTCAGGTTTCTTAACATATATCCCTAGAAGTGGGAACACTGGGTCAAATGGCAGTTCAATTTTTAATTTTTTGAGGTAACACCATAGTGTTTTCCATAGTGGCTGCACCAGTCTGCATTCCCACCAGCAGTGTACTAGAGTCCCCTTTTCTCCACACCCTCACCAACACTTGTTTGATGATTTGTTGATGGCGGCCATTCTGACAGGTGTGAGGTGATACCTCAGAGTCATTTTAATTTGCATCTCTCTGTTGATTATTGACATTGAGCATTTTTTCATATGTCTCTTGGCCAACAATGGAAATAATTTTAAATATAACTTTTATTGGAAAAGAAGTATATAAAAATTCTTAATTAGAACCATTAATCATTTTTATTTGGTATTTCTAGTGAGATATCCTTTGTAAATGAAAGCGTTCAAGAAAATGTTTTGCCTGAGATTATTATTATTATTATTTTTAAAATCCTCACCCAAGGATATATTTTTCATTGATTTTAGAGACAGGAAGGGGGAGAGAGAGAGAGAGAGAGAGAGAGAGAGAGAGAGAGAGAGAGAAACATTGACATGAGAGAGAAAGGTCAACTGGTTGCTTCCCATATGTACCCCAACTGGGGATGGAACCCTGATACCTGGGTATGTGCTCTGACTGGAATCGAACCTGCAAACTTTCATTTTATGGGACAATGCTCCAACCAACTGAGCCACACCAGCTAGGGCTATATTTTATTTATTTATTTATTTATTTATTATTGATTTTAGAGAGAGAGAGAGGGAGGGGCAGAGAGAGAGAGATTGATGTGAGAGAGAAACATCGATCAGTTACCTCCTGTACTTGACCTGACTGGGGTTTGAACCCACAACTTAACTAAGTGCCCTGACTGGGAATTGAACTAGAAACCTTTTGGTGTGCAGGATGACACTCCAACCAACTGAGCCACCCTGCCGGAGGTAGATTATTATTTTTTAAATAAAAAAGGATTTTTTAAAAGCATTTGGTGGGTTTCATTTAGGGGTGACTTACTGTTGGACTGAGAATAATATACTTCAAAACTTGTTTCAGACCTTATGTCCAATGGTGCAGAATTGGTAATGATTATGTGTTTAAGACAGTTTAGATTTTAAATAGGGCCACTTTGCATTTAAAATGAAAGATAAAATTTGTATCTTTTTTTTTTATCCTCACCTGAGGACACTTTTCTATTTTTTGTTCAGGTAGAGTGGGAGGGGGAGAGAGGAAGAGAGAGAGAAACATCGATGTGAAAGGGACACATCGAGTGGCTGCCACCCGCACAACCAACCAGGGCCGGGGACAAACTGCAACCGATGTACATGCCCCCAGCGGGAACCGAACCCGGGTCTCTCGGGACCGCAGTCCGACGCTCTAACCGCTGAGCCAAACCGGCCAGGGCTAAAATTTGTATCTTAATATTAAATTCACAAAATGTATAAAAAATGAGAGAAAGGAGATATCAAAATTGTAATTTTTTTAGATTCTCAGTATAAAAGGCAACATGTCAGATTATGTTTAGGAATTGAAAATCTTGGTAAATGTATAGAAACACACTTTCTATAGTGTCATAGGTTCCCAGATCTATTCAGTTCTGCTTATTATATCATTTTATTGAACTTTAAAAAACCATATGTAGAATTCTTCAATGACATCCATAGTCATTGAAGAATTTCAATGGAGACTGATCAGTATGACTAGTCTCCAAATGAAGAGGTTGAATGTTACGCACCACATCAAGACCCTTTGGCCAACAATAGTGGTCCCATAAGATTATGATGGAGCTGAAAAAATTGTATAGCCTGTTGACTTCGCAGCTCTCGTGATATTTAGTACAACACACTACTTACATGTTTGTGGTGATGCTGCAATAAACAAAGCTACTGACCTGTCAGTCGTATAAGAATATAGTTGACACCATTATGTACAGTACCGAATACTTTGACAATGATCATAAATGAGTATGTTACTGGGTTATGTATTCTTTTTTTTTTCTATCCTCACCCGAGGACATTTTTTCATTTTTTGTTCAAATAGAGTGGGAGGGAGGGAGGGAGAGAGAGAGAGAGAGAGAGAAAGAGAGAGAAACATCGACATGTAAGGGACACATCGAGTGGTTGCCACCTGCACTACCCAACCAGGGCCGGGGACAAACTGCAACCAAGGTACGTGCCCTTAGTGGGAACTGAACCCCGGGCCTCTCTGGACCCCAGGCCGACGCTCTAACTGCTGAGCCAAACTGGCCAGAGCTGGGTTATGTATTCTTTATATTACACTTTTTACTGTTATTTTAGAGTACTCTTTCTACTTACAAAAGACAGTGAGATGTTTAGCAGACTTCAGCAAGCTCCTTAGAAAATTTGAAAACATGGACCCCAACACCAAAAGGTTTTCATTAATAGAGAGGGATGCTTGTGGTGTGTTATCTGCTTTCAAGCAAATCTGTGATGAAAGCAGGAAGCAAACCACCGCGGATGTATTTATGAAAAGAATGACACCTTCTCAAGAAGGACCTCAGGCAGGTCCTTCAGGAGGTTCCAGAAGAGGCGTTGTTACCGCAGGAGCTGCCGGCTCCCGTTGTCACCCCTAAAGCCCTTCAGTGGGACGAGAGTGGAAGTGGAAGACAATGATGCTAATGATCCGACCCTGTGGAGGCTTAGGCTAATGCGTGTGTTTGTGTCTTAGATTTCAACAAAACAGTTTAAAAAGTTAAAAAATAATTAGAAAAAGGCTTATGGAATAAGGATATAAATAAAAAGTATTTTTTACAGCCATATAGAGTATTTGTGTTTTAAGTGTTATTACAAAAGAGTTGAAAATGAAAAAAATTGAAAACTTTATAAAGCAAAAAAGTTACAGTAAGCTAAGGTAAATTTATTATTAAAGGAAGAAAACGATTTTAAAGTACATTTAGCGTGGCCCAAGTGTACAGTGTTACAAAGTCCGCAGCGGTGCACAGTGAAGTCCTGGGCCTTCTCACACACTCACCTCTCACCCCTGACTCCCCCAGAGCCCCTGCCAGGCCTGCAGCTCCATTCACGTAGGTGCTCTTTACAGGTATACCAGTTCTCTTTCATGCTGGGCCTTCTCACACACTCACCTCTCACCCCTGACTCCCCCAGAGCCCCTGCCAGGCCTGCAGCTCCATTCACGTAGGTGCTCTTTACAGGTATACCAGTTCTCTTTCATACCGTACTTTTACTCTACACCTTCGACGCTTAGATACACAAATACTTACCATTGTGTACAACTGCCTACAGTATTCTGTATTCTGCACAGTAACATGCTGTACAGGTGTGTGGCCTCTGAGCGGTAGGCAGACCGTATCACCTAGGCGAGCAGTAGGCTGCACCATCAAGATCCGTGTAAGCGATCTCTATGATGTTCCCACAACGACAGCATTTCCTAATGACTCAGAGTGTATCCCCGTCATTGAGCAGCACAGGACTGTATTATTGTTGAAGCTCAATTAAGGGCATTCATCTTTGCATTAAACTTGAATATTGGAAAAATAGAAACTTTTGAAAACATTGAATATTTTAAAAGAAGTTGCTTTTTCATGTTTTAGAATTGCTATGCAGTTGACACAAATAGTGGTTACGTTGTATTTGAAGAAAAATTTAAAATTCTGAGGTTGGCATCTGCAGTGCCCATGAAATGGTCTTTTAAGTTCAACCAAATGCTCAGACTTACCAGACATTTTACATCGGATTTACTTAGAAGGATTTAGAACAGGAAAACCTCTTGCCAGCAGGGCAGCGTCCGTATTTCTCTCCCGGGAGAGTAAGTCTCGCGGCAGTGCACACGTCCACACGAGGGTTGTTCTCTTGGGCCCCAGCGACAGCTCGGGTGCCAGAAGACGACCCACAATGGCGGGCATGGCGCACAGTCTCCGTGCCCCGTGGGAGCCAACATCTTTAAGTACTAAAAAGTCATTGTGGTTTTTGCATGTTTGTGGAGCATGGGAAAGTGATATACAGAAAAGGACTTTATTGAGACCATTTAGTTGAAATACCTATTTTACACACATATTATTTATAGGGAACGTGTCTATGTCAAGAGTCACGGTACTCAGGAGCTCAAAGATATGGCTTCTCAGCAGATATTCATGGTTAATTTATAGTTTCTGGTCCAGATGCAACATATAAGTCAAGGGTCCAATAGTAACTGACATTATTATGAGTAAAAAACCAAATTTCCATACAGTGTGTGTCAAGAAGCTTATATTAAAAAATAGCCTGTAGCCCTGGCTGGTTAGAGTATCGGCCCAAGGACCAAAG